ATATGGTAAAATGTATTATGGTAAATTTCTATATGAATCACTGAATTCCTGCCTATGCATTTAGCACATATCTTTATATCCTTATAATGACCCTGTTCAAAATTTGATCCTACTAATACAAATGTTAGATACTTTATGTAACATAAGAGATGTAAGTGGATTTCCCAAGCTTTTAAATATTCCTTTTCTAAGGCATTTAGTGTTACTATGTGAATAATACACTTAAATACAAACATCTGAATTCAGTAAAGTATTTAATAACATTTGAATTGAGTATAGAGATATAACTGCTTAACAAATATTCTTGTTCATTTTTCAGATTTGTAACAAACGATCGCAAGACAATACTAAAATGGTACAAATCTTCTTTTCTGCCACGATTATTATACAAACGGTATTGTATTTGAAGATGTAATACTCCACGAATATATATAACCGTTAAACTAAATAGAATATCGCAAATAAGCTCGTATATTTATAAGTTTTTATCACATGTAAATAGCAAAACGAGAATAACACACAACGAAGAGGAGAAAGTTGAAAGTTTTGAAACTATTGTTAATAATATTGAGAAAGTGAGAGTTTGAATTATTTTTGTTTTATGTATGTCTTACTGATAAATATTTGTACAAATTGTACCCAATTACGCATTCTAAGTAAAGCGCAATACTATATGAAAAAACATGTATTATATTAAATATTGTGAATTATGTTATATTAAAACTCTCTGAGTTAACTTTATATAGTTACCATTAAAGGAGACTTTTATACGCTAAGTAAAACATGTTTAAAATTTAATCTAAAATTTTATTATTTTGCAGTTCAGTTAGAGAAACTGTAATAACCAATATAATGTCGAAAGAGGTATTATTTACGATTATACTCAATTTTCCATATAACATATTTATGTATCTATTTTATACTTTTCTCTGTACTTGTTTAAATATAAGAGATAATAAACTATATTCCATTAAATATTATCTATCTATTATGTTGAATCGCATACTAACGGTGAATGTAAAATTTATTAGGCTTTTAAATTTTAATTTATAGTAAGCCCACCTTTTTCCTTTACAATTCATAAAACATTGTTGCTCTGATATGTCCACATCAAAATATTAATTCTTAATTAAAGGTAGCATGTATTGTTAAAGCATTGTGTGATCGTTGCAACGCTCATAGATTTTAACTTTTCTTATTTATTACGTAAATAAAATGTGCAAGAATATACAATAGAATTTAACACGTTATAAGACAATTTTTAATAATCCAAATATGTATTGTTTTTACTGTAATATTTGTATCATATTTTTAAAATAATATTTTTATTTTCGCAATTAAATTAAACGTAATATTTTAAAATGTTCCTATGTATCTAATATATTTGTTTATTACTATTAGTGACTATTAAATAAAAATATCGCGAGTACAATGAAAAGTGCCTTTTATTAAAAATATTCATAATTCGTTTGTATAAACAACACCTCTTTTATATTATATACAGTAATGTTATCAACGTAATGCTAAAATCTTATATAAATGATCAAAATCGTTTAGTATGTCCTTCATAAAATTAATGTGTTACGATAGACAGTTACATAATTATTACGAAAGTATACATAATCAGTCTCCAAATCTCTCCATGGTCTCCAAGATGTAAAAGGATTTTTAGCACTATGGAGAGGTTGTAAGTGCGAACTTAAAATTTGTTTTAAAATAGACACGTTCTGTTCTGCTTTTTCTGCTGATGTGGTAGTTAAAATCAACGGACAGTGTCTAATCCGTGATAAAAATATGCTCCGCGATGAAATATGTCCACTCATTATTAAAATCTGCTTGAAATACTATAATTACATTTGGTCGTTTAAAAGACGGTCCGGCGACATACATATGGTAAAATTTATTATAAATTTCAACATGAAGCACTATATTCCTCTTCTTGCAGATACAACAAAGTTCTATGTCATAATGATCCTGCTCAAAATTTGGTCCTACTAGTACAATTGTTAGGTTCTTTATATTACGTAAGAGATGTAAAAGGATTTCCCAAGCATTTATATATTCCCTTTCTAAGACATTTAGTGCTACCACGTGAATAACGTATTTAAATTCAACCGTCACAAATAAGGATGAAATAAGTGGTTCTACTAAACCAGCATTCTTCATTCCATTATAGAATGTTAACGGTCCTGATACATAATCACAGTAGAAATATTTAGAATTCATTGCAGCTATTCTGGTGCTTCGTGCGGCAGATCTCGCATATTTTGTAATAAATGCATTCATGTCATTAATAAATTCTTCTCGAAGTTGAATAAATTTTATCACAGTTAATTTGCATATAAAAGCTCCGATATTAATGTTGATATACAACATAAAAAGTTGGCATTTTGGCTCATGTAAATCTTGAAATACCTGTATATGCTCACTGCAATAATAGTCCGAATAACACGTTTG